TACGGAGGGCATATCCGTTTATAATATTGGACACTTTGGTTGTTTAAAAGAGGTGAATTAAATGAGTTCGTGACGAATCAACCTATCCGCCATGCTTTTGCATACCTTAAGCTGTCTTGCGGCCTTTCCTGTGATTGGCGTCATCGGCGGTCAAGTACCAGTCGTTGACGGCGTTCTCGGTGGTGTTCCAAAGGCTTCCACTTTGAAGCCACAGGTGCTAGAAGATGCCTCTACTGCTGCTACAACCCCTGGAGCACTTCGTGTGACCGAGAATTCCGGTGTCTGTGGTAACTGACTTCGTCTCTTATCGCAGCCAACTTGAACTTGAGTTTTCTTTCGCAGAAACTACGCCAGGAGTCTACCAGGCCTCTGGATATGGTGATCTGACTGCTACTGAGAGTATCTGGTGTGTTTCGCGATTATTTGCATCGAGTCAATCAAAAATTTTAATCGCTCCACATAGGTTCTGGTTCTTCGCGGCACGCCAAAACTCAGACACAGCTCCTTTGGCTTTATGGTTCAACGGAGGGGTACGCTTGCTCTTTGTCATACGTTAATTGTCGTACATACTCAAGTGGCATGCATGCATAGCCGGGAAGTTCGAGTATGATCGGTCTTTTCCAAGAACTTGGTCCTTGTCGCATAAACAACGACAGCTCCACTGTTTCCTTGAATCCGTTCTCCTGGAATAACGAGGCGAATGTTCTCTTCATCGATCACAGAACTAAGATCGGAGCAGAAGTCACATGGCAAGAGACGAACTTCAATGTGTACAGCAACTTCGCTTCCACAGGTCTGTCCCGTGTTCATCCTGCGAGTATGCTAATCAATTTTGGTGGTAGGCGACTGGATGAGGAATTCGAGGCCGGACTTGGAGACTGTGATTGATGCAGGAGTACGACCTGACTTCCTGTGTGGCTGAAGCTGACCCTAACTATCTCTTAGGTCAGGGTTGTTGTCTACGACGGAGATGCTGTGAGTTGACAACTGCAATCGATTTGAACCGAATACTGAATCCACATCCTTCCTTTTACGACAGGATTACATTCTCAATTTCCATGGTGTTGAGGCCATGGTAAGCTAATCCTCAGCCATACACGTTGCTACTTAATATATTAGTAGGTTGATGCACTGCAAACGAAATTCACCCCTCTGTACCAACAACAACAATTTGCTAATTACACTGTCAATGGCCAAGTGACTGCTATTTATAAAAATGCAGGAACTTTCTCCTACATTCGCGTCTTTGGAGCCGGGCACGAGGTTCCTGCGTACAAGGTTTGGTTTAATCACTATGTATCAACGTGGTTAGACTCATGGGATCCTACTGCAGTTCGGAAATCTAGCAGTGGGGCAAGCAGCAGCTCAGATGTTCACTCAAATCATGCGTAACCAGAGCCTTACTCCGACATAAGGAGTCCTATGATTCTTAGAGATAATAATCACTCATCAATTGTGTACTACCGTCAAACCGTGGCGCGCCAAGAAGTTTGTTCTCTTCCCATTGATACGTGGAAGAATTCGCGTCTTGTGCAAGTGGCGATCTCACGTGACGTGTGATTAGAAGTCGTAGGTTGATCCGCCTAGCCATGCATGGCTATTGACCCGACGAGCACGTCTCATGGGCATTCGAGTACATGTGTTCTGATTGATCGGGTGTATCAATGATTCTCATGCCGAATTCTCTCCGTCGATCCATGTGTTTGTCAAGTATCGACCGTTTGAGCTGATGTGAAGCCGACATCTACCAGCTTGGCGAGGAGGATAGCACTCTCTCAGATATACATTCGCTACTGATCGTCACTGCAAAAGATCCTAGTCGCTCTCTTGTGGTGCCTTTCTGTCTCAGGGAGAATAGATCACTCTGTACGACGTAGAAGTCCTTCACGTGGGTGAAGAGATTCGAAGAAACCCCCAAAAACAGTACCCCGGTGAGTCGAAGTCGAATCAGACTGCGGAAGAGGAACTCTTACATGGAGTTTCGTTATTGCAGCTTCCAGGTAAGGCACTGACAAAGAATTGGTTCTCCTTGTTGGATTTCAATGCCTTACTCTCTCGCCCATCCGTAATACCATCTCCTGCAACCCACAAAACTCTTCTTCTGTCGGAAGCAGAGTGGCTGTCGATGGTACACTGCTATTGAGAATTCATAAGAGAGATCGCTGTTGTCACCATTGAGTTGCGCGATGCGAAGGATGGTGGGTTTCAGGGACCCGAATCCTAGGCGATTTGTACCATTGTGGGATACAGGCGAGATCACAAACAAGTGAGAGCAGATTGCTTTTCGGGTTGTTAGTACCTCCCTCGGGTAGAAGATGTACAAGGAACCCCAAACCCGAGAAAGATGGTCCCTGATTGCGAATTGGAGATTTGTAAGGAATGACATATCATGGAAAATGACCTCGATGAGACGCTATTGATATCTTCGAAGAAGATTAGATCAAGGAACAAAAAGAAAAAGAAAAGAACAAACCACGATATCACTCATGCATGGCAACGTTGATTTTCACCACTCGTTGCCAAGTTTTTGTACAAGTTTTTGTAAGAACCATCTGTCGACGTTGAAAGCGTTGGTTGACATCTTCAGATCAGGACTTAGAAATCAGATACAGCTCTAGTCTTTGTATTATGGCACAACACGTAACCCAGAATTAAAAGTTTACTGTACATCTCATCTCAATAACTCCTCAACGACCCTATCCTCATTGATCTTTGCTACATTTGCGCCACGATAGTTCAGTCTCCGTAGCACATCGATCTGTATATCAATTAAAACACAGTGTAGAATCAGAATGCAAAAACACATACAACTTTTCGTTTGTCAAAGCCCAAAGATGTAAACTGTTCTACATGTGACGACTCCAAACCTGCAAGCGCAATTTCATTCTGCACGTTGGCTTTGGCCCCTTTGGGACCTGGCCCACCCGCGTACATCTGTGTCCAATAGATTGCAGTCGTATCAAAACTGTTCTTGCTCGTCGTAAAGTGCTTCGCAACCTCTGCATCTTGAGGATCATTAGGCTCAGGCGAGCACAGGAGACTTTGGAGTGAAATTAGGGTCGATTTAAGAGTGAGGACTGGCGACCAAGCGTCTTTGAGAATGTCAAGACAAATGGCACCCGATGCGGAAGAGACGTTCGGATGGTAGACTTTCGTAATAAATTTCATCTTTACAGGTTGAAAAGGGTAGCCTTCGGGAATGACTATATCCTGAGCAAAGTACACGTGGTTCTGACGCCACCTTGATAGTGTGAATAATACCACTCACAACTTCGAATGTGCCACCTTCGTAGGGCGTTCCCTCTGGACCAGGAAATGATCCCTTAAGATGGAAGGGGTTATCGTCGATGAGGTCGATCTTGATGTTCGATGTCTTGTCGTTTTTGCAGTCTTGTATTTCTCAGATAAATCACGCAGATGCAAGATCTAGGTGACCTACATACCAGTTATTTCTTTATTGACACGTCGAAGTCTGGCATCCATGATAGCAAGAAAAAGAGGTGGCCTTGAGGAACAAAGTGAGAGAATGAGCGGAGCCTGAGCTTCTCGAGCAGTTTACATAAGCAGGATGGGAAAACCGGCGCACGGGCCGGAAGTTACCTTGTCCCCACAATCGAGTCTTGTGTTCCCTTCGAGCGACACTGAGGCATCTGTGACCTCACCTCGAAAGCGGGCGCGACCAGGAAGGAGTGAAATCGGTGAGTCAGTGGTTCAACTTCTCCAGATACACTGTTCAGACAAATTTCTAGCCGAAAAGCCTGATTGCGATCTCGATGAACTTATGCGACGACGGATATACGACTCCAAGGATAGTACAGCCATAGATGACTTTAAAAATATGAAAAGGCTCAGACGTATGCCATTCTACTTCTTTATGGGAGACCTTATCTCATTCGTAAGCAGGCGATCAGGACGTTCTTCGAGTCGCACAAGAAATCATTGACCAAGTTAAACTGGTCGTGCAAGCTGAACTTCAGCGAGCAGCCAGGAAGATACTCGAGGTGGAGTTATATTTAAGATGGTTGCAAGGTTTGGACTATGTTTGCAAGGCTGTCATGGTCGGTTTATTTACATTTCTACACCGGCCAAGGTTTCTTAGATATAACAGGTTGTGTTGGACGCCAAAGTCCCTGGTACTCGTCGATCCATGACAGGAGTTGGACGTGTTTCGTTCTTCCTTCTATACCACCTTATGGAAACCTTTATCGATGAAGTCAATTCGCACCAAAATGGCTGGTCGTTCAGGCATCCTGCTGGTCCCATAGAACCTGATCCTCTTATTATGACGCTCGCCGAGGAGTGTAATGACTCCGACTCCGATGTACGTTCAGAAGATGCAGTACGCGCCGCTGAACAGTTCTTTGACCGTTACGACAAAATTATGGTGGCGGCAATACGAAGATACAAGAGTGAATGTAACCAGAAACTGATGGCGCTTTCTATCGATCGGAAGGAGGAAAGTCTTTCGAGGGGGTGTTGTTTGTTGAGCGAGCAGACGGGTTTTGGCAGCACAGATGATATGGGATTCAATCTTCTCGAGGAGACACGAGACGCTATGATTCAGTGGAAGCTGGAGGGACGATGATTCGTCAGCATAAGGTGATATGAAGGGTTGTGTGTCATGTGTAACAATTTTTTAATAATTTGTACAGTAATGTAGAGTAGAGTCGCAGTCGATCTTGTTTCAAATAGTGGATGGACAGATGTCTTCACGCAACATCACTGCTGGCATCAGAACCTGTTTCAACTGGAAAAAGCAACAAAGTAATGTGTTATACCATTTCTTTGGCAACTTTTTGCTTGAGAAAAAGGCATTTTTCATTGTCTAAACTCTTTCTCATCAGAAATATGTACACAAAAAATGGCATGACACATTTCTTTGCTACTTTTTCTGGCGAAGACAGGTTTTGGTGTCAGCAGTGCATGTGTCAAGCCTCTTCACGTAATTTTCATAATTTTATTTAGTGATGATTAAATTTAATGGTCCTACTGCATTACGAGCTGGGATGGCCGAGTCGTTAAGGCGAGTGATTTGAATTTCAATTATCACTTGGTGTTTCACCGCGTAGGTTCAAATCCTGCTTCCAGCGTAATTTTTTGATGAACTCTCTGCGGTGAAGAATATACTTGTAAATGTAGTAAGGCAACAGTTCAGCAGAGAATGGAAAACCTGACACAGATTTGGCAGAGGAAACGTCGTTCGCCTTCGACAAAGAACCCTGTTTCTTACTTGCGTGAGAGAGTCGGGGATTTTGCAAATCCGATGACACAGTCACGGTTATTTACTGAGTGAAAAATCCAAGTCGCGGTACTCACAAGGTCTTATACGAGAACGTTGACGCGGAGATAAGAACTCTATCGACTTCCACGTGAAAGTGCTGGCAGACCTCGTCGATTTCGATCCCAAGGTTATGCGTCACTCATTATCACTGTTCATGGCATTCTACCTACTTGTTATCAGCTAGTGAGCTCTAGCTCAGCCTTCAAATTGAGTTCCTAGTAACCAATATGTATGGTATGCATCGGTATGTTTATTTCGACTCATTACTTAGATCCATTGATAGATGACAACCATTTTGCGTGAACTGGGACAGCCGTGTAGATACTGCATAGCCCCATACACTAGCCGGGGGCATTGTACAAAGCCGTACTACTTGGGACCAAATGATGGGGGTCTCATACCTCTGAAATTTTTCCACATGTCATTCAACATACATCTACAGCCTAGACTTAGTCTTTCTGAGCACTTTGGCTTCATCGCGGAGAACACGCCGCAACATTTTTCCACTCGGAGAAGTTGGTATGGCAGGAATGATTTCCACTCCTCCAGCCAGGTGCTTATAATTGACTTTATTGTCCGCAACGTGCTGGGAGAAAAATGAGAGTAGAGGGCCAATGATGGAATCATCTGAGCAGACCTTGATAATCGATGCTTTGATCTCGTTGACAGCAGTTGGCGTTTCTTTTACACGAGACAGTGCAGAGGCAGTCAAGACTACGAAGGCTAATGGAACCTCTCCGCCTGAAAGACAGCTTTTGAGCCAAAGTTAGATTTCAAAAAAGGCACGTACTGTAGTCGTCCGGAATCCCAACAACACAAGCTGCTGCAACATCAGGATGATCCAAAATGCATCCTTCAAGTTCTGCAGGGGAAACTTGGAAGCCTTTGACCTAATTAGAAAATAGTTAATTCCCGAAATCGACACCAACTAGAACTCCACGACCTTCATTATTTCCTGATAATGTCGACTATTCAGTTAAAGCTTTTGATTGGAACGTGCCAACGTGACCTTCAATCGATCCAGAATCCAAAGCTCCCCGTTCTTGTCAATCTTTCCCTCATCTCCAGTTCTCACCCACCTCGAAAAGTTCTCAAGCTCAAAACTTCAGAACGTTGCGGAACAACATACCCATCGATAAACGTTTCTTTGGTACTAGTCCATGGAGAGAGGTTCGATAACATGTGTGCTTGTCGGAAAAACAGAAGACTCACGCTTCCTCGTTGTTCGCATAGCCAAGCGCTACGGAAGGTGTCTTGAGATAGAGTTCTCCGGCCTCATTATATCCGGCGAGACTTCCATCCGACTTCACGGCCCGAGCAATGGTTCCTGGGAGAAGCTGGCCTGCACCTAGTAGACGAGTCAAAACGCGATGCACAACATTGCATATAGTAAATCATTACTGCCTGAAGTGCCCCGTTTTTGTGTAATGGGCCACATGCTGGTTACCGTGCACGTCTCAGTCATCCCTAGATTCTTACTGACTATAGAGTTCCTCAGATCATGAAAATCGACACTTACCGTATGCTTGCCCAATGTGAGCATCGGGGAAAAGCTCAAAAAGCTGCTGATTGACCTCATGGGACAGTGGAGCAGCACCGCACATGATTAACCTGACAAATCGACGAAGATTGTAGTTTTTTACCGCGGGATGCTAGCAAAGGTTTCCGAATGTCTGGACATGCGAATCACTTCAAAATGCTTACCTTGCACAAAAGGACTACTTGAGGAGGCACAAGCCTGCAGATACATTTATTTTACTATAATTTGAGTAACGTATAACGGCGCACATGAGATGAGAAATTCGGTGACGAACGATGCTATCTAGCATCGCCGTGAAATTGAACTTCGGCACAACTACGACAGACATCTTCCATGTTCGCGCTGCATGTCAGCTTCACAAGGTCTCCTTGAAAATAAGTGATGCCTACGGCACTGAAAAGTATGAAGTGCAACTGTCGAAACATGTGCACCAAGTCTGATGAGGCCTGGATAACGAGTGCTAACGCCACGCACATTGAGAACAAGACCATAGATATCTGTAAAAGTAAAAATCTTGAAAATTTGACGGACCGAAGAACGGTATCAAAGTATTTACGGTAAAATGGCAACACTGACAAATAGTTGTAAAAAGTAGAATTCAGAAAGTGTATACGCAAGACTCACCTCCGATGCAGATATCGCCGGGTCTGTATCGTTGATCTTCAAGGTCACAGTAGTTTTTGTTCACATTGTTATGTGCTGCAACCTGGATTACATTTGTGATGAGCGCATAATGAGCAATAGCCACAGCCTGCTCGTGATTATCATGAGTCTCGATTAACTTAAAATAATATCAGATCAACGAATGACCTTTGGTTTGCCGGTTGTTCCTGACGAGAAACTGAGAAACGCCAACTTGGTTTTTGCTTCACCTGAATTCAGCTTTCTCTCAACAAATGCCGGTAACGAGGCCGACCCCTTTTCAATCAGTGATTCAATCTTCAGGCAATTATAGGGCGGTTTTTGGCGAGTGTCAAACACGATAAGCCTATTGAGAGGCAGTTTCGCTTTCTGGACAGCGGAACGAGCTGTATTAATCGAATCAGGGTGCGCGATGACAAGGCATGCTTTAGTCTGTTCCAATTGGTAGAAAAGCTCATCACTGGAAAAGTCTGGGTTGGCACCGCTATATATGATGATTTCAGTACAATCCATAACACCTGAATTGCACAACGAACGAGACCACTGCTCCGAGTCGATGGACTGCCCAAATTGCAACGGGATAGTCTGTGAAATGAGTGTTTAAGCAATTGTCTCGACATACTTGTGGATTACGAACCGACGTGATTCCGGCTAAAGATAAGCACTAGGGGCGTCCGTGTTTATTTGTAACAGTATAACTCAGAATACATTAAGACATTTTAGCTTACCAACATCACCATCCCCTGGCCCCCAACAATTAAGCAAGAGCGATGTCATATATTGGAAAGTCAAAGAGAGGACATTACCTATGCCAAATGTAATTTTCAATGCATTTGCAAGTCCAAAAGTACGCTGGCAAAGCTAAACAACCGTGACAGTTCAAATATCATAATGTTTACTGGAGAAATGTCATGTGGAACTTGCCTCTTCTTTTCCAATTTCTCTTCCAGTTTCGTCCTCAATCAACCAAGTTGAGCTGGGACTTCTTACCGGCCGACACTCGTGATGATAAGCAAACATAAATTGAGGCACTGTCAGGTCATCCGGGATGCTTGGAAGGGGTACAGATGGTGAAATCACGTCCATAGCGGCCTGACACTCTGTGAACAACAATGTCAAGTAACAGCGCGTGGGGAACGATGCTTGAAAGTTGATTACATCAGGAAATGGTCAGAAGGCCAGAACCGGTGGTCAGGGGTTACTCTTAACATCATGAATGAACAACACAAACTATTGATGTCTACCACTCCTAACCCCGCAATAACCGTACATCCATCTTCATTAAATAGCTTGAAGAGTAAGCGCTCAAACACCTGAATGAACTACTTATTAGAACATTTGTAGGGAGGTTATCCATTGGATGTCGGCTAGCATCGCACAGTTGACATCGCTTACTTGTTGGTCTATGAGAACCTCAAGCAACAGCAAGCATGATAAACTATTTCCACCTTGTAAGGGACGCGATTCTTCGCGGCTTGTTCTGAGCTGTATGGGCTTGGATCTCTGCCATTTCCTCGAGTGATACTTATCTACTTGATTGAAGGACAAATGCCAGTGATGGACATTAGTTGACCCTAGAAGGACCACAAATCTAATCATTGACAGTGATCACGTGGCACGTCCAATTGAACCCATACCTCAGCCCCCCCAGTTGCTTTTCACCGCAAACACACACTGAGGTTGTGCTTTCCTTCAAACCTACCTCGATACAATAGCTTACACTGTGTTTATTTCTCGTACTCGTGTCTCGGTACTACATCAATTTTGTTGCTTTTCACCATAACACGCACTGAGGCCTGAGACTTTCTTCCTATTTCTCGTGTTCGTGTCTATGTCTAGGTCTATCAAGAACTAATCAAACTGACGCACCTCTGTTCCGGGAAGGAAAGCAGGTGGAAGTTTGCAGTCATACGCCTCTATTCAGTGGTTGAAAGCCAATACATCACGCTCGAGATTTGAATGGGTGGACCTCGCCAAAAAAGAGCAGCACATGCTAGAACTTTCCATTGGGGTCGTTGTTCTTTCACGAGTGATAAGTCGCGTCAAAAAAACACAATTGCTTTACAACCGTGTGACCTGCGGGATTGTCGTGTCAAGGACTTGGTTACCGACACATAAGTGCAAGGCTACGTTAAGTGAAGAAATGAAAACAATATAAGCCCGCTTGATTCTCAGTAGCTCCTGAACAGTCCCCACTTTAGCACCTGCATCTTGATCTTGCTTTGAACTTGACGATCAGTAGGCGAGAGCATCATTGATGCCCTAATTTCGTGCCGAAACATAACGGGATGGAAAGATCCATGCCTGTTTCGAATCGTGGAGCGGGGCTTCGAGTCTACAATCTTGGACGACATTTTCTTTGGGCTATCTGCTCCTTGACTCGATCACACAAGACGCGTCGCAACAATTTACCGCTTCCATTTTTCTGTATGAAAATCAGTCTTAGATGTTGTCTGATTTGAGAATTCACATCTACCGGTATCGTCTTCACGATTTCAACACCTCTGGGTTGTTTGTACTTGGACAGGTGGTTTGCAACATGCTACAAACGATGGTTGTATTAGAACAAGTTTTTCGATTAGAAGAAGCGCAAAATGCCGTTTCATACCTTCAAGATGCTACGCTTG